AACTAATTTTGTTGACACGTGCAGCTGTTTGCATCTTGCTGGAGGTCACAGTTGACCCGCCTGTTTTTTTTTCTCCCCTCTCCCCCGGCCTACAGCAGTACACAGGAGCTGATAGGCAGAGCAGATGCGACGCGGAGGAAAAGCGACGGGATGCGCAGTTTATCAGCTGACAAGTGCAGCGGACAATAGAGCAGCTGAGCGGCTGCTAAACCTCCGCAGCCTCTACCGAGACACTTTCCCGCGCGGTTTTCCAACATCCTGCTCCTCTTGTGGGCGACAGGAACCGTGAGTGTGTTTCACCTCCTGCATTGTTGGAAGTGTCTGTTTTTTGGGGTGGAAGGACTGTGGGACGATTTGAGAGCAGAGACACGTTTCACGCGGAGCTGCCAGCTGAATCTCTCTCTCTCTCTCTTTCTCTCTCTCTTTCTGCTGCTCCTTACGCGGCTCTACATCCACGCACAGGTCTTACTACTGCGAGTGCAAGGCGGTGTCAACGAGCCGAATAGGTGTCAGTGGAGATCTAGGGGGGAAGATTTTCAACTGTGCCAAATTGCACACGCGCTGCGATTGGAAGAAAGGCACCGCCACGCGCGCTACATAGCCTGCAAGTTTGGACTACAAGCGCACCGCTGGAAGTTTATGCGCCTCTCGCCTCGGACAGCTCCCTGAATCTACATGCAGGTCAGTGTGCTGCTACTATTTTACCCGCTTCTCTCCTGCTTCCAAACGGGTGTCACTCCCTTGATTTAAATAAATGGCAGAAGCGGTGGTCCTTGTACAATAATGGGGTCTAAATTGGTCTGTACGCTCTGTTGCAATAACCCAAGTCCCCTGACAAGATGTGCAGCCGAAACCTGCCCCCCCCTTTTCCCATCTGTGTCTCCATAAAATGAATGAGATCACACTTTGATTCATACCCCGTGGGTTTTTTTTAAGCAGAATTACATCTTTAATGAGTGCAAGTGCTGAGCAAGATGGATGCGCCTCTTAACAGCTACAGCTTTCTCACATTAGAAAGTTCAACCTTCAGAAGGATGCAGTTTGGAAAAGTCACAATTGTGATTTGCATGATCTTTGTAAATGTCATGTTAAAATGGCACATGGGAGAAGAAATACTAGGATCTTTTTCTGCTCTCAGCATCCATTGAGCTCATTTTCTCCCCCCACTCAGACCGTAATCTCTCCCAGCCTGTATCACCTCTAACCCCACTATCCTCAAGACATCTGACCAAGAGAGTGGAAAGGTGGGATGGCTTTGGCCCAATAAGTGAATTTATCTTCACGTAAATTGTTATATAAAAGCCCTGAAAGGCTCGCTGGGGTGCAAATCACCTGCAGAGATAAACCGCTCAATCCACTAATAACTCAAGTGTGGATGAGCTTACACACTGCCTCACTAAAATGAACTAAATCTGTGTTCTCGGCCTCAGGTGGTGGGGAAATTTCAGTGCAATGAATTAGATGGAGGCCTGTAGAAAGGTTATATTGACACAGGGGTATGAAGACTCTTAGTTGGACATGTGCCCAACTCTGGTTGGATTTTCTACTCAGGAGAGGGGAGTCCTTCCCCTGATGGGTATGCATTTACTTGTGTCGTTTACTCAGAGTAGGAGCTTAAGGAAGTGGTGTTAATTAAACACAATGGTTCATTTCAGCGGAGTTCATTTCCTTCTGTTCTAGTGTCCCAGCTCTGTGACACAGTGACTTGTCTCAGCGCTGCTTTTCCACGAGCCACAGAGAGAAAAATGTTGATCTGATTTCACCGTGCCATGGATCAGGCTTTAAACGCAATCTGCAAACACACGCATCTGTGTCCACATGATAGCCCTGAAGGACAAGTGTATCTGTCCGGCTAAACTGATTTATGGCTATTGTCTGGAGTGCTGTTGAGGAACTGCTGCAGCTGAGGCTGTCTTCTGTTTCATGCATATTCCCCCCTTCTCTGACAAGGACTGGAGGAGGAAAGTAAAACAGATCTTCAACGCTTTGAGGCCTCAGCGGTGACTGATGCGCGCTGAAAGGCTTGTTTTGAGTCGCACAGGAGCTGGAAAGCAGCTCCAAACCAGCAGAAGAGCAGTCTGTCTTGCTTGTGTATGCTTGTAACGGCATTACAGTGACATTTATTGGGTGATATTGAACATGTGGTTTTGTAGCGGGGCGCTAGAACATTAGCACAGCTTGTATAATCCTCTTTTCAATGCACTGGTGATAATAAGCATTGCCTGTCTGGGGAAAGATTTCTGGCACTGAATCTTTCCTCAAACCTGAGAAAGTTTCCTAGTATTTACTCTCCTCTAAGGCAAACCTAGAGTGAGAGCAGTTTTCCAGGGTTTTGACACATTTTGCAGTGCTCCTCAGTGAGCAGCAGCAGTATACACACTGCCATAATGTAGCAGATGACTGCACACGGAGCACTGAGACATTTAAGCGAGCTTCTGTGACCCCTTATCGAGGCTTTAGTCTAATGCCTCTGCTTCAAACTTCATTGCTCTCTAATCCCACTAATCGAGCAGGTGACTACCATTTCTGAGCAGGAAAACCTCAAGGTGTTGTTGTTTTTTTTCTGCCTTTTGCAGGATTGCTGCTCAAAATCAACCGATTAATCTGGGAATATCACAAGATGTGTGCACACAACACTGCCACTCCATGCTCCTATCCTTAAGTAATTTCCCCTTTCATTATTCCTGTGGAGAATTTAATATTCTGTGTGATGAGAGCCGCCTCCTTTAGGGATAAAGCCGGGCCTCTAAACTGTTTTATAGATTGTTAAGGGGCAATCAAGATGTCTCCTCTCTCTCTGCAAAAAAACGACTCCCCAAAGATGTGTGAGTGATACGGAGGAGGGAGTCGATGCCCAGATTGCTCCTGTAATATCTCACCTTATTACTTGTTGATGCTGACGGTGGCTCCAAAGATGACCTTATGAATTAAAACATTTGATATGGCAAACAGCACGGCCCAGTCGCCTGTTCCAACACATCAGAGCAAACATGTGAAGGTTAATGCAGCCTGACAAACTACCCACAGTTCCCTGGGCTCGACGGATCGGTTCCATGTCATATTTACTTTACATAATTGCTGCCCTCTAATCTGTTACTATTAACACACACACACAGCCTGCCTGCATGGCTATTGTCTCCTGCGCTCTCCCTCACCTGTTCTCCCTCGCAGTGCGTTTCCCCTCTCCTCCCATGAGAGTAGCCAGACACAATGATAAATAGTTGGCGTGAAAGTAAAGCATGCCACGTGCATTTAGGAGCTCGGATGAAAAAAAAAACAGAAAAAAAAAACAGGCTCCCATGATGGCAAAACCTCCATCAGCGGATGCACTCGCTCATATTTGCTTTTGATGACCTCAAGCCAGGGGATTATTTGGGTTCGGCGTAGGGGGACGTGACACTCGCGGCAAAGTTTAGCCTGCAAAAGGAGAAAAAAAATGTTTTTCCTGCAAGTTGCCAAATAATTGCTGAAAGTCACCCTCGGATTTTTAGGGGGAGGGGATTGCACGCTCTTGAAATGTGCTTAGAGTAGGGATATTTAGTGACAGCACTTGATGCATTACCTCTGTGGTCCTTAACTACATTGTATGCAGCACAAGGGGGGGAAAAATCACGTTATATGGATGCAGGCAGTTAGGACTGTTTGTGCTTTACTCTGTCTCTGAAGTCCTCTGAAGTGTTTTTAAAGTCCCACATACAACAGATTTATATTGTCTCCTCTCAGTCATAAACATCTTTTATTAAATTTGTACATTCATATTAAATTAATATATGTATGCCTAAACCAGCCTGAGTAAAGGCTAAGAATATAAATAGACTTTCATATTAACTTAAAGATAAATTTACATAGTGATTTCCATCTCAAGTGTCTGCTCAGTATAATGTGATACCTGCCATTGCATTTTGATTGGAAAGGAGAGCGCAGCAGTCTCAAGGGCACAACTACTACACCCGCCTCGTGGCTATTGTAGACTCCTCATAAGATCGGAGTGTTGTGCATTCGTGAAACTCACCTTTGTAGTCTATTGTATACATATGTTTGTGCAAAATGCATTCGAGGGTGACGTTCAGTGCGTAGGTGTTCACGGACAGCCGAGTTGGTAATTGTCTTTGAAGGACGGGAAGCTTTTCTATAGTCGTGTTTGTGTTACTTAAAGAAAGAAGATTTAAAGCATGGCAGCTCTTGGATTGTTTTCCAACATTCACCGCTGGCCAAAGCCGGCTGAGATGAAAGCCACCTGCGAGCAGCCGCAGGATGCCGTCCTGCTGGTCCGACTCTGGGAGCGGCACCGTTTCACACTGTTGTAACCTCCAGATTAACATTTATGGCCCAGCATGCTCTGCTGGACTTTCTGGGTCAAGACCAAGTGGCAAGATTGAGGAGTGGGCCTCACTTTGTAAGCGTACAACTCTCCCTCTGAGTGCGCAGTGCTGCTGAGCCTGGCGGGGAGAGCTTCGAACAGAAATGTGCTTAGTTCTGTCACAGGGAGAACAAAATAGAAATGCATTGTGCTCTCTGCTTGTGAAAATTGCCCTGGGTGGATGAATACCTGCGCCGTTTCTCAGTGCAGTGAAATACTGACATTATATCCAAAGCCAGGAAACCTTACATATTTTAAGGACATTACAAAGACACCAACCCCCATGCACAGACCTTTTAGCCTTACAATATGATTATGCTTTGTCTGGCTCACATTAAAAAATTAAAGAGAACTTTTCCAACTAGTAAGAAACATGCTTTTTAAACCCCATAGCGTCTTGACTTGCCAAATCCTTGGGATGGATTTTCTTTTGCCTTTTTGCACAAAGCAATATTTCAGCCCTAAAGGAGGGTTCCCAGAATAGCTTCAGCCTGCCAAGGGCTCTCAGGTCTGGTCTTTTGTGGCCCCTGGACAGCCCAGTGGGAAGTTGGGCTTCAGCTATGCTTGTCGATGGAGCAACTTACAACCTCAATAATTCTGTTGACGCGATCTCTGTGATGCTGGTGGGTGAAGGAGAGCGATGAAGGGGACAAGGCGGAGGCGCTGGTTCATGTGGGCAGCCCTTCAGCAGCCAGCTTCCTCTGTGTCTTTTTATTGTCAGCAGGGTGAGGAAGAAGAAAATATTGAATATCAGACCATTGAAGAGTGTAAAACAGGCTCCTCGGAGTTGGTGTAATGGCATACAGGTCAGCAATCTTTCACTTCCAGCCGAGAGCCGTGTGCATTCGGAAGCTGGTCTCAGCCGTTCGCTACGGGGCCGGCTCTCGGAGTTTCACCCCTGGAAGCAGAGAAACCAGTGTGATGTTGGTGAATTTTCAGATTGATGTTTCTTTAATAAGGCCTGCGGTCTCTCAGTATTCTGATCGTGTGCCATCATGACCTACATACTCCTTAAAACGCTGACAACTGAAGAATAAAACCCTCCAGTTTCTTTATGGAAACTCTTCTTTTTTATGTGGCACCATATGCCTAAAGAGAAAACACACTCGATATATTATTCTCTGTTAAGTGCGAAATTACCTTCATTGTGTGCAAGCAATTTGTACTTCTTCTAATGACATATTATTAAAGTGAGTGTTTTGATTCCTTTTGTAAGAATTACGTAAAGGTTTGAGTGCAACAGCGGCTAGATATCCCTTTTTGGCTACATCGGATTTCTCCCAGCAGTCTCCGCTTCATCAGAGAGTTGCTTTCCATTGCAGTATGGAGGCTTACCCTCCTCTCACCAGTTGCCTGCCACTGTTTTGTGATTGCTGTGTATATCCCATCTCCCCTCACTCATGCTAAAATGGGAGGGTTGGTTTGTTTGACAATCATGCGAGAAGCATTTGAATGACACCCGATGTCAGCACTTTGAATTTTTATTTGGTTTCCAGGTTTGGACGCCTGCAGCATTTCAAACATAGTTAAAGTGAAGGTTTTAGGCCTCCCTATAACTGCTCTGGAAACAGAGTGCTAAAGTGCCACAAAACTGTCTCCAGATGTTCTGAGTGAGGCTGGTGCAATAGGAAAGGATGGGCGATAACAGTCTTTGTAGATCTATCTATCTATATTTTATTTAAGATTCTACTTTTATCTGTCTGTCTAGCTATCTATTGAGATGTAGATATAGATGCAGGTATAGATGCACAGATATCTATATACAAGCATTTTTGATAGATAGATAGATAAATAGATAGATAGATAGATAGATAGAAACCTTAATATGAATAAGTCCATGTGTAGAAATATAAAGAGTAAAAGTACATAGATATAAGTTAAAGGGACAAAAATATGAAAAGAAATCTATCTATCTATCTATCTATCTATCTATCTATCTATCTATCTATCTATCTATTTATCTATCTAAATGAATAAATATGTATATATGTGTGTTTATATATATGTGTATATATGTAAATATATGTATGTATATATATATATACACATCTATATATATATATATATATATATACATACAAGTACATCTTTCAGTCGATCAATTATATGTACTGTATGTCTAGATATCTATCTCTACATCTATAACTCCATCTGTATCTTAATCTACATATATATATAGTATTTTCTATCTTCTCTATCTATCTATCTATCTATCTATCTATCTATCTATCTATCTATCTATCTATCTATCTATCTATCTAGGAACAAATTAAAATACACATGAAATTAACATGACAATATACATATATAGATTAAGATGTATAAACCCTGTGGGTCAGGAGAACATAGTGTTTGTACTTTTCAATTTTTTTTAAGAGGTTTCATTCATTCACATAGTTTTCAATCCATGAGATGTAGCATATCCTCACTTCAAAATAAGAGCATGTTTAACAATGCAGGAAACAGAAACTCAAACCAAAAATGGTAAAAATGTCAAAATAAAAGCATCACAGATGTTTCTTTAAGGAAGTAACTGTTGTATGGTTGCTGATGAGGATATACAAAACTTAGAAATGGGTGATGACATGTTACGAATCATTTTTAGCCAAGTTTTGCTTTTAATTTGAATTTTTTTTAGAAGATTTTTATATATCACTGTTATGTGATCTTTATCATTATTCTTTTTAGCTACAACAACTGAAAGGTGAAAATATGAACTGACAGTCTAGTCTAGATCAGACCATTGGGCTCGACTGGTATTTGATTTGATTGAGAACTATAATTATAAAGTCACCACTGTCAATCTAAAACAACGAGTCACCTGAGGTTATTCCTTCATTTTCAGGATATTTTCATTTGTTTACCAGATGTTTTATGGGCGGATATATTGTGAATTTCACTCCTCCAATCACCCTCGGTGGTGTTGTTATCGCTGTGTAGCTTCATTACAATGCAGTCGCAGTATGCCACAATTTAATTTAATCCGTAACAATGGGTCGATCATGGATTTGTCTGTAAATTGCCACAGGTCTGCGGAGTTGATTTTATTTTTTGCACACCGCAGCGTCAATTCATTAAGAGCAGACGTTAGATGACAATTGTTGACACCGCCTTGCAAGATTCTCAATTAAGCGAATGTACATGAACACTGTTACTTCCTTAGATCCCCCTGTGTGAAATAACACTACACTGATACCAATTTGAGAAAATAGCAAACTGCGGCCCATTGAATTAAGACCGTCTGGTGTAATTGGGTGTGTGATATGGAAGGGAGCGTCTGTTTTGATAAGAGCTGGTTCAATACGAGTAGCCTTGGATACAGATAAATGCTGCGCCTGTATGTATGAATGCACTGAATAACCTGCTATTACCATTCCAGATGGAGGAAGATACTGCAGAAGAAACCTCACAAAACCCTGCATTTTTTTAGTCCGATTGTCCACACACCTAGCAATTACATAAAAAAAATTGGGTTTGGCTGTGCTGTTGGTTTCCCTCACTAAAGATTCAATGAATACATAACTCTTACTGTCGCTGGTGAAGGGTTATTTGGGGGATTTGTAAACATCCATGCTCAGCTTATTATGTTGTATCCTGGCTCTGGCAGATGCTTTTTTTCCCATTATTTAATTCTTTCTGACAAAGAAGCAGACAAAAAAAATGGTTGGGATTAGATGTTGACCGCTGTTATTTACCAGTGACAGACAAAACAAGTAAAGAGCAAACAAACGAACCAAAGAGTTCAGTTTCTTTTTTGTAGGCTTTTGTTTTTTTTTTGTTTTTCTATCGTCTCAGTCACTTTGTTTGTCGACTAAATTTGCCGAAACTATGAGGGATCATGAAGCTCTGAGCTCGATGAGCGTGGAATAATCTGAAGTGGCTGTATCAGAGATTTGCATCACTTTACTCCACTTGTGAATATTCTGCATCATACACAAAGACACGAGAGTTAAGATGGAGCAGGATTTCATCACCGGTCCTGAGAGGCTCACTCGGCTTTGTAAGCTCCTCCGTCACCAAGTGTGCTGAAGCTATATCGCTGTCCCTGACACTTAATTGCCTCTAAATACTGTTTGTTTTTGTTTTCATTACCTCACCTTCAACTTTTCTCCTCTCTTGGGCTGATATTACCCGTTATCATCAGTGACTGTGCATATTTAACCCCCTGAACTCTGCATACGTTGGTCTGCCAAAGTGCACATTACAGTTTTTGGCGTACAGAGATGTCATTTCTTTAAGTATCCTTAAGAGCGTCCTGTGTCCTTATCTAATATCCCTGCAACTTAAAATTCAGGTTCGTTTTGTCCTTTATGCTCAAAGTATGAGGGCTTTTTTTGCTTAATGTCCTGCAGCATTATGCAAAGGACAAGTTTGACATCTCTACTTCACATAATTCACTGTAATGTAGTTGAATGTTTAACACAGATTTAAAATAATGAATAAATAAAATGAACATCAATCCCCCTTATCTTTTTTTGCACCTGTCTGAGAGTTGTCATGCGGTTCTGTTCACCAAAGGTGGGATGATGCATCACTGAATCTACAACTATGTTGAATTTCTGAGTTGTTTTTTTTTTGCATCAGATTATTAAAGTTATTAAAGTGACAAGTGGACACACTGAAGTTATTTGAGAGGAGGAGGCTAAAGGCCCTAAACTTGTTTTTGGTTTTCTGCTTCAATATTTCTGTCAAGGTCAGTGCTTTGAGCTGAAAAAAATGGTGCTTCTTGGTCACTTGTTGGCATGTGTGTTTTGTGTCCACCATCAGCGAATCAATTTTGTCTTTTTACCTTCACCTCCTGAATGGCTGTAATGAACAATCAAAGTCGTGTGTGTCGTCTTCCAGCTCTCCTTCTGCTCATGTCCTATTTATGTTGCTTCGAAGCTGCGCCCACTGTACGGCCTCCCCTGTGAGCCACTAGAGAGACTCATGAGTTTGCATTGATTTAACATCACTCTTCAGAGGCAAGAGAGCATCATGTGTACAGTCACCGGTATCAGATAGTGTGCTGAGGGTAACGTGTGTTAGTTGCTGTCATACATCACCTGTAATATAGGGAACAAAGAAGAGGGCACTGGCAGCCGGTAAGAGGTCCTGGTGCACTGAATGAGTCGGGCACAAATACAGAAGAGGTGTTACCACGACTGAGAGAACTGTGGAAGTTAGTCGAGGTGTAGTGGATTAGGCAGGGGTCCACAAGCTCTCTTATCATCACCTCTTTGCTTGAATCTAAGCTGATGAGATTTGAGGCAGATTTAGCATTTTCAGTGTGTCTCCTGCAATCGTTGGTCTCTTTAAAAGCTAATTAATGACATGACTGACACTACAGGATGTCTTTGTCTATGTTTACAATGTAATAAAGCGAAAGACCAAAACCGTAGCATCCTCCCGCAAAGACATGAAAAGCGGTGGCTTTTAAAGTTTAGATTATGAATTAATCCGAACAGAAGGATGTGAAAAAACAAACTCCTGCAGCTTTATTTCAGCTCCCTGGGCTTTTTTTCCCCTCTTTGTTGCTACATTTTCAACAAGCATTCAAAATCAATATGCCAACATTCAAAGCTTTAGCTGTGAAATTCAAAGGAATAAAGACTCCAGTTATTAGAGTTTCTTTTTAGATCAGTCTAATGCTCCCACAAGGAATTATGAAGTTTCATTGATTTTGGCGCCCCCTGTGGACAAATTGGTAATCTTATCATATTGTTGTTACAACAGAGAAAATCGTTTCCTGCTTTCTTTTAACAATCAATCGTGTCATTTTCTGAGGATCTTTGCGGTGGAGTAGATATTTGTGAA